CACACTTGATGCACACGTGGGTCTTGGCGAGTTGCTAGCACTCTCAATGTGGCAGTGTTTGCACCTGTAAAGCGGGGAGACGGCAGTGCATCGTCCAGACGAGGCATTGGTGGGGCCTGAATGGACAGGAGCGTTCGAGAAAGAACACGTGGGTCACTGTGCACTCTCCGCCTCCTCCCCAGTGAGTCCCAGAGTGAGAACCAGGAGTGAACACAGCCAGCAAAAGAGCCAGCACTCTGAGCTCCTCCAAAGGTGTTCTGGGGTGCCCACTGCCCCACTGCAGGGAGGGCAGTCCCCTTCTCAGCCCGCGGAGGCCTGGGCACCGCAGGGTCTTCTGCCCCGCCCATCAGACTAGCTTCTCCCCACAAGGGTCCAGGACAGGGAAAGCTTCACCTGCTCCAAGTCCAACCACCCGGCTGACACCTCCCCGGGCCCTGGCCCTGACCGCAGGCACCAGCCAGCCGGTGGGCACAGCCATCACACACACCTGTGCATGTGCAAGCAGACACACAAGAGATGCCCTGGCTTCCAGGGCTTCCTGACACCCCCACAGCCACGCAGATAAGCAGTTTCACACTTGGTCACTCAGACAGGAGGGGCTACAGCAATCTCATGGCAGGCGCACGCAGGACCCTACTCGCTCTGAGACATGCTGGGGCACCGGGGCAGGGCGCCCTCTCAGCTGCGCTCACGCTACTTTTCACAGGGTAGCAGCACTGAGAAATCACCAGAGGGCCTGCCAGGGGCATGGGTGGTTAAGGCAGCTGGATCCCAACATGGTCCAGTTTACGATCTGAGTCCTGGGTCTGGTGGCTCGAAAAACATGCTGGGCGTGTGTGTGTGCGTGCCCAGCATCCTGAAAGGAGAATGGAGGAGAAGGAATTGTGGTGTGGCCATCCTCCTGGGAGTTGAGTTCTCACTTTTCCTCTGTGTCTGTCTCTGTCTCTGTCTGGTGAACACATGCACCCTATAGCAAAATCTTAAAGAGAAGAAGAGGAGAAAGGAAGAAAATCCCCAGGGAGGAGTTGCTGGGCACTATCACCCCGGAGCCACCCAGCCACCCTATCGGCCACCCTGGAGGAGGGTGAGAGGTGGAAGGGTGCCCAGGGTTGAGCACCAGTCCCTGTCCCCACATGCCTCCAGAGGCTGGGCTCCGGAGTGCTGCCCATGGCCCTGCCCACTGCCCACTCCCACTCGTCACTCCCTCCCACCTGGAGTTCTTGGCTCTCAAAGCTGGATGGTAGCAGCTGCATCTGAACAGCTATGGTCACGGCTTGGTGACTGCACAGTCCCTGCATGGCAGCTCCTCCGTAGTCTGTGACATCCTAAGGATGCCTCTTCTGAGGCAGGTGCTACTCCCAGCAGGTGTCACCCCCAGCAGGTGCCATATGACTCAGTTTCCTGGATTGGAAATGGAGCACTGCGACACAGCTGTTCTGTTGCTCAGATGTCGGCATCAGATCCGGGATTCAAACCTGAGCCCTTACACACTGCCTGATGCCTACAATGATTCTCATAGTGTAGGGAGGCACTGTGTAGTTCCCACAAGAATCTTCCAGGAAGCCCTAAACTCAAAACTCTTCACAGTGGGACCCAGACTGCTCACCGTCTCTCTTGTCCCGTGCTTTCCAGAAGCATGAGATACATAGCGCATCTCTGTGCCGGGTCTGGGCCCTTCTTGCCTCCATCTCCAACGCTGGGTTTAGTAGCCATAGCCTTGCCATGTCCACATCTTGAGGCCAAAGGCCTGAAAACTGCTGGCCCAGGCATAAGTGTTCCACCAGCCCTCCCCTCTGCAAGGGCACGTATCTAACCCTCTTGGTCTACCAACCCTACGTGTGGTCAAGGTCCCCTTTCCCCCAAGGGCCCGGAGTGTGGGCAGCTCCAGGAAGCCCCTGGGCCCCAGGCTGCAGCCCCTAGTGGGAATTGGCCAAGCCTCTTTCCTAGGGCTGGC